CTGAGGGTGGCGCCCGAGACAACCGTTAAGGCAAGAAAAGGAAAAAACCGAAAGGGCGCTACAGTGGAATTCAAATTTTAGCACAAAGACAAAGGATGGTACCTAATTCAAACTTTTATTGAATTATTGAATAATTGACTTAAATTATTGATTATTGATTATTGACTCACAATTATTATTAAAAATTACACAGAATGTATGATTTTTGAGGAATTGAGATCGAGGGGTTTCTCTGCCGTGCTCTTTCCCCTCTTGAATTCCAGGTCGAGTACGTTACGATTTACTTTAATAATAAACTAGACGTTTCACAATTTTTTTTCGTTTTTTTTATATATCACAGCTTCCCTTAAATTTTCCAAATATTTGCCATGTCGGGCGCATGTCCAGTCAGTAAAATTGAGTAAGTTTCCACAACGTAGGTCCTATTTGTATTTCATTTCGTTTTTCAGAAGATTTGTTGTTTGAAAGAAAATAAAAAATCACACCGTTCAATCTTACTGAACGAACCCAGGGTTGTTATACTACAAAACCATGTTGAAACTTCCGAAGCTCTGAAAAGGAAATTCATCCGGCAATGTTGTAAGTCATGTTGGAAATTGGCATACAACTATAAATTATCATATACTTAATTTTAAAGGGCGATAGAAATTGATAAATGCAAGATTAAAACAATGTTGTCTGTACATGGATCAAATTTGAACATTATTCCATGCAAAAGTTCTCGACAAGGAAAAATTGCGTGTCAAACCCTTTTTTGGGGTCGTTGAAAAAATACATACATAATAGAGCTAAATGTTTCAAATACAAATCATGTATCGTTCTTTTCCATATAAAAAGGTCTTGTCGATAAATCGGCGCAGTTTTTGGGAGATGAAACTAGAATAAAACACCTAAAAGCACCAAGATTTTCATAATAGAAGTAGGTATAATAATTCTGATTAATCGTTACTCGTGAAATAGAAGAATACAATAATGCAAAATTTCACCCAGATATTTAAGGGAGAAATTAAAAAAAAAAAGATCTTTGTAACTACTATCGCATTTAAATGGTACGTTAGGATATCTTATAGGCATGACACGACCAGAGAATTTAAAAGATTGAAAATATAAAGTAAACAAACTTATCGTTAACATTCTATTGGAACAAAACCATTCCAGCGAAATAACGCATAGGAAAGTGCAATGTGCCGTTATCTCTTGGCCACAAACAAGCGGATATAACCTGTAGTTCGAAGAGTTGATCCCTAAATCTGACGTTCAAACCGGAACTATGGGACTTTGCTCCTCGTATAGAGGATTGTGTGTCTACATTTCCGAATTATCGTCTCTTGGATAATGGCCTATCGTATGCAACATTATGAGCAAATTATTTATTATAAATTTCTTCATAAGTTGTCACTCAATATACAAAACTATTTTGTCCAGCCAACTGAAAGTTTGTTGTAAACTCAAAAATTTCCCTCGTCGACTTCTGATTTTCAGATTACGAACACTTCAAGTGGAATGGAGAGCGCAAGCATCGCTTATTTATTCTGCCGCTTAATATTCCATCGGCAAATGGGACGAAGCACTGATATTACATTTCAACAAACTTTTTCAACGGTCAAATCCGAAATGCGGTGTACGTCCTCTCGTGCGAAAGGATTTCTCCTTATCACATTCTCATGTCGACTGCGTCATGTTATTATAACCTAGTCTTTTATTTCCGACTTTAAGTTAAAATTGACGTTTGATATTTTATCATTTAATAATAATAAAATTGTCAAAATTCACTCAGGTTGATCGAGGTTTGTTTATTATTTGCTTTTTCTGTAGGTCTGAAAGTTTTTGAATTTTTGAATATGGACATGGACAATCAGAAAACAATTGTGGTTCTGGGAACGTCTGCGGTTGTTTTAGGTGTTTTGCACCTAAAAAATTTAAAAAAAAAGAACCCCCTGCAGAAAAAGATCAATATGAGTTAGGAAAGAACAAGGTTTTTTTGATAACTTCATTCGGGAATTACAAATAAGTAGCCCAGAACTATTTTTCAATTTCACTCGTATGAGTTCTAGGTGTTTTGAAAGTCTTCTTTCATTATGTGGGCCATTTTTATGCAAAAATTCACCGAGAGAAGCTATACCACCAGCAACAAGACTGATCGTAACATTAAGATTTTTGGCCACAGGCGATTCCTACCCAAGTTTAAGTTATGGGTTTAGAATAGCTGCGTCAACTATTTGGAACATAATTTTTGAGACGTGTACGGTAATATGGAAAGTGTTATCACCTAAAGTTCTGCAATTACCAAATAGACAGCAATGGCAACAAATTGCCCAGGATTTTAATAGATCGTGGCAGTTACCAAATTGTATTGGTAGCATTAATGGAAAACATGTCCGCATCAAAGCTCCTTCTCATTCTGGTAGTCAATATTTTAACTATAAAAAAATTCACAGTATAATTTTATTAGCTGTATGTGATGCCCAATATTTATTTACCTATGTAAATGTAGGAGCATTTGGTGCTCAAAGCGATGGGGGTGTTTTAAAAAATTCTGAATTTGGGCAGTTACTACAGGATGGTCTTTTAAATATCCCTGATGGTTTGGAACTACCAAATACAAATGAAAAAGTTCCTATGTATTTTGTTGGAGATGAAGCATTTCCTCTTCAAGTTAATTTAATGAGACTATACAGCAAGAAGAAAAATCAAGCAATGCCTGAAGGCGAATTAATATTCAATTACAGGTAAGTATGTCTAAAAATACATGTTTTATTTCATTGAATATATTAATTAAACATATATGAATATGTTTAATCTTTTTTATTTTAGACTTTCCAGAGCAAGAAGAACAATCGAGAATACCCTTGGCATAATGGTTGCAAGATTTAGGATCTATCACAAAATGATAAATGCTGATCCAGAAACAGTGGATGTCATTATTAAAGCAACAACCTGTTTTCATAATTTTATCAAAGTTCAGAAGGGAGACCATAAAATATAGTGTGGAAAAGAATTTGTGGATCGTGAATTTAATGGAAAGTTAATTCTTGGTCAGTGGAGAAGAGAGGTTCCCAATGAAACTGCAATAGGTCATTCCATGCTACGTTTTGGCAACAGAAATTATAATAAAGAAGCATTTAATTTAAGAAATTTTTTGAAAAATTATTTAACAGGGATAGGTGGTATTTCCTGGCAATTGGATTCTGTCAATAGGACTAATTAGTTATATTTTTTGTGAAGAACCCTAATTTAATAAATATATTATTAAATTACTATACAGGGTGTCACGAAAGGTTTGTTACAAACTTCTAGGGATGGTAGATCTCGTAAAAATAAAACTTTTTTCTTAATAAACATGTATCCGGAAATGCTTCGTTTTCCAGATATACAGGGTGGCCCGAATTTGGGCCTCATCATTGGTATCTCGGTAACCGTAAGAGATACGGGGTTGGTTAAATTATGGCAAAGTTGCGCAATTTTATGACCAATAGAATACCGTTTTGAAACTAGAAAGATTCCGAATACTTCCGGAGATATTCCGAAAAAACCAAAATTTTGTAAAATCGTTTTTATTTTTTCCCGGTCTTATTTGAAAAGCAATTTTAAAATAAATGTCACTTCATCATTGTCACTTCTTCCCCTCTAGTAGATGGTGGTACTAAATTTAAAATTCGACGTTTCGTCTTCAGGCGGCCATCCTTAACTTACGTTTTTTAAATACAATCCTAGATTTTTTATTTGCGATTTTGTCATCTTTGGGCATCCTAAAACCGATACTGTTTATAATTTTTCAATAACACAAAAATTGATGATGATTCCAGAGGAACGAAACGTTGGATTTCAAATTTAATACTGCCATCTTGTAAAGAAGAGAAAGTGACAATGGGAATGTGAAATTAGCTTTTCAGAATCATTTTAAATGAAATCAGGAAAAAATTTAAGAAAAACGAGAAATTCATGTTTTTTTCGTATAGTTTTCATTTTTTCCTGATTTTATTTAAAAAGATTGTGAAAAACTAATTTCACCTTGCCATTATCACTTTTTCTTCTCTACAAGCTGGCGGTATTAAATTTAAAATACAACGTTTCGTTCCTCTGAAATCATGTTTTTTTTTTTTTTAATATGGACCTGCTTTTTTTGCTGTGTTATTGAAAAATTATAAACAGTATCGGTTTTAGGATGCGCAAAGATGACAAAATCGCAAATAAAAAATTCAGGTCCGTATTTAAAAAAGGGAAGTTGAGGATGGCCGCCTAAAGACGAAACGTCGAATTTTAAATTTAGTAGCACCATCTTCTAAAGGGGAAAAAGTGATAATGATGAAGTGACATTTATTTTAAAATTGCTTTTCGAATAAGCCCGGGAAAAAATAAAAATGATTTTACAAAATTTTGGTTTTTTCCGAATATCTCCGGAAGTATTCGGAATCTTTCTAGTTTCAAAACGGCATTCCATTGTTCATAAAATTGCGCAGCTTTGGCATAATTTAACCGACCCCGTCTCGCTTAGGGTTACCGAGATCCCAATGATGAGGCTGAAATTTGGGCCACCCTGTATATCTGGAAACGAAGCATTTTCGGACACATGTTTATTAAAAAAAAAGTTTTATTTTGACGAGATCTACCATCTCTAGAAGTTTGTAACAAACCTTTCGTGACACCCTGTATAGGTACTTACCTATGTGTATTTTTTTAACCTATTATTCTTAATTATTATCAAACACAGTTTTTCTTATCTTTAAGGGATGCTTAACCCAACGAAAAGAAGTAAATAGTAGGTATTTCTCTATACTTAATAAAAATAACAATATTACAAATTAAATAAAACAAAAAATCTCTTATATAAAAAAAAAACTTATCTAACTTACATTCCTACAAAGAAAAATAACTAGATTTTTATAGAAACTATATGAAAAACAACAAAAAATGGCATATTCCGGTTACTGAATAAGCATAAATAAGAGAAAAGTAACTAGTTAATAATTAGTAGAAAACATTTAAGTTATTACACTTTTCTAGAGTTTTTTATATTTTCTCTTAGACTGCAGTAACCTGATTACCGTCTCGTCCATGAATTCTTCTCTTTGGTCTGTTGCAAATTCCCTTAACTCTGATATTAGATAATTTGCAAAGTCTCTCAATTTATCATGTTTTGATTCACTATTGGTATTAGTAACATTCGAAACCGAGTTGGATATTTGACTCAATATATTAACCACTTCTGATGAATCTCCAGATTCAGGTTGTTCCGTTTTTTTGCGTTTATTTGGTCGATTTAAAACTGCTATAGGCTTAGTTCTATTGCAACCTATGTTACTCCTCAACTGGCAAGACGTAGTAGGTGTACTATGAATTGCATTCTGAACTGTTCGAGAACATGATGCTGTAGCACTGCTAGAAGTATTGTACATAAGCGGACTGGACTATGTTCTACAATAATGGTGATTTATGAATATGAATTATATTTTTATGTGCGTCATTGTGAAATAAAACTGCTGGCTGAATTTCATATGGTATAGTCTGACAAATACCATTTTAAAGTCACGTGATACTGGTGGCAAAAAACGTATGTCCATTGATTATGTCGTTGATATCACCTACAAAAAGCTACTGGTGGTTAATTACTATTGAATTTTAATATATGTTCCGACTAGCATTTTACAAACGCGTTTCTGAAGTAGTATTGATCAATCAGAGGGCAATTTTAATACTTGCAATTGTTGCGAGACTCACTTTTGTTGCATCTGCTGTCTGTTGTAATACATTCTGAACTTAAACTGAGTACCCGTTGTCTATTTGCTTCTTTTCGAGTTGGAAAAAGGTTAATATAGTCAAAATTATTAGCTGTGTTTGTTCGTTGTATTACTTTCGAAAATAACTTTGACAAACTAATTGATGGCAGTGACGGATTCTATTTCAGGTAAGAATATTATGAACAATAATTAGACAGCAATTTTTTTGTCAATTTTACTATCACCGCTGTTTGAGATGTATTCAACAAGGATAGAGAAAAATCACGTGACTTTAAAAAGGTATTTGTTGGACTATATGCGTTAGCAGTTGCTGCCGATGGATGCAACTGAGCAATGATGAATCAGTCAGCCAAGCCAGTCAATAGGATTTTATTTTATATTTGAATAGTTGACTCAATTACTCGATTTAATTACCTTCGGGGAGGTTGCTTGTCATACATAAATTGAAAAAATGACATTAAATTCCACTGGAATAAATTAAAGGCCGCTGCTCCGCTTCTGGACAAGACATCAAGCTTTTGCTTCTCTCTATGATATTTTTCTTTCAGAGCTTTCCACTTTTTCTTACAATTTTCAACTACAAGGTTATTAAATTACATTTTAATAGGGTCAAAATCAATTTAAAACTTACCACTTGTTTGCATGGACCCTGCTATTGCTTGGAATGCATTTTCCTTCATTAATTTGTTGCTATATCCCTTGTTTTGGGGATTGTAAATTGCCGGATAATTACATATATGTTTTAAAAATAGTTCTTCATTTTGAATTAAAAAATTATTCTCAGACTCCTGAGTATCCTGAGCAATGTCTTCTGTGTCTTCATCAACAATATAAGTAATAATTTTCAATCTTTTCCTGGATATTACCGTAATTTTCACTTTCACTACCGACACCCTGGCTTCCATTGTCTAACCAAATATTCATGATTGCTTTTTTTTGCTTGTTCCGTTTATTTGGATATTGGAAATTGAAAAAAACCGTCAAGTCAAAACGTCAGAATTTTATGAGAATTTAAAACACAGAATACATATCCTCACGGATAGAAGGCATACTGCCTAATAAAATTTTGGGGAACAATGCGCCGTCACGGCGCTGTGGATGCGATCCGAACTATTTATAATATAGGTTTCTGTAATCAAATAAACTGTCAAAATAGTTCACCCAATGTCAATTTTTTCAATATTAATTTTTCCCAATGATTTTTCCTCATTATAGTCGAATTCGATTCGACGGCTTCTACTTCCGAGTAGAGCAAAAACGGCCAAAACTTCTTGTGTTTGTGTCTCGCGTGTGGCTAAATTCACCAAAATGTTGCTCCGCCGCGGACGCGGTGATTACGATTCACTAATGCCAATGCCCAGTAGTTTGGCAAATCCTGTTCAACTTAACACTGCTTTTTCTACTTATTCCACCACGGTACCTACACCAGCTGAATTTAGCCACTCGCGGGTTTTGTGTAAGATCTGATTTTTTTTTTGAATTCAATAAACATTTTTCTGGATTTAAAATGCACACCAACACTAAGACAAATTCTCATTCAGAATTATTTTGACATATTTTTTTGACACATAAGTAACAGGTAAACGAGGTAAATTAAATCTCATTGTGTAATCTGCAAAAGTAAACAGTGACCTGTATATTTTCTGATGGCCTTCATTCCGCACCTGTAATTGTGTTTTACTCCAGCGTCCCCAAGCGGATGCGATCCGAAGCTTTTTTTTTAGGCCCCGCCCTCCATTAAGCTTTTTTTTCTATCCGTGAGGATATGTGTTCTGTGATTTAAAAGTTTGACATTTCACAAAGGACCCCGCACAAAAAGATAGGAAAAGTGGTCCCGGTCAAATCGTCTGAAATTTTGATATGATATACTTCTCGTTATCCTGATTAAAAGCTGTCATGGACGCAAAAAAATCTATCGAGGGGTTTCCGAGTTATAGTTCCTCAAAGACGTCATTTTGGATATAAAAGATGTCAAAGTTCAAAATTGTATATTGAATTATCTCGTATACGTTTACATAATTTGGTGAAATAAACTATTAAAAATAGAGTAAATAAACTTCAAAAGATCAGAAATGCCTAAATAGTGGTAGTAAATATGTTAGAGAATGATACAATAAAGGTGTTGTTTGTTTGTTATTAGTCCGGGTGTTCATCTGTTGTTTCTTCACAGACGTACAAAAATCTGTCGAGTTGATATACAGAGATTACTGTGAAAGCAAGCAATATATTATAAAATAAATGTACCTATAAGTATCCAAAAATAAATTCTATATTTTTGTTTTTAATACCAAAAGGTCCGTATATACAGTATACTTTTAATCTATTCGATGCCAATACCAACAACTCGAGATTTAAAACATTAAAAAATAATACATTGTTCGCTAAAAATTAGAAATAAACATATTAATGAAAATAACGAACAAAAAGCGAGGCAGATTTTAGTTTAAATTGATAACACGAAGGTTATTTGAGGCTCTGCTTTTGGGATCTGATACACGATGTAGTAACTCGGTTGCCGGATAATGCATATTTGGTTTGTGTCGCGCGTAACCCAAATACCAAATAACTGCTGCTATGTGTGCACAAGTGCCCAGCGTTCTGGATCCTGACTTGCAGGTAAAATAATGACCTCTTACATTATTAAAGTCATATCCAATGAAAATCTTGTGCCTAACTGCGTTTCTGAAGCGCGAAATAGTATATTACATATCGAGTAGGGAAGTGTTTCATTACTGTCGAGAGATTGACTATTAATCTCGAGACAGAAATGAAAACTTTCCTTCGAGGTTTGTATACTATTTTATTTGCAAGCACACCATTAATTATGATTAGTCATTCAATTTTATTAATATTAAAAAAATAAAACAAACATGCCAAAATATGACATTCACCTGTTTTGACGTTTTTACCTGACATGTTCTCATTGTTGCCAGCAAAGGTAAATAAATTAGAGTGAGGGAAATCGGTGAGGGAAGTCGAATAGGGAAATCGGTGAGGGAAATCGAAGAGGGAAGTGACACAGGTAAAGTGTCACTTTCAAATTTTTAAAAAGTCAGTAATGTCGAGATTACATATATGGTTGCAAATAAACACCTTTAATCTGATCAGATTGGGGTAATTCAGTAACAGATCTATTTGCGATTTTTTTTTTCTGCGCATAGTGTCCTGGGTGTAAGATGACTAAGACGGCGCAAGATTTATTTGATAGACACCTACAGTTAAGTCCCTCTATTCTAGATCCAAATGTGGAAAGTCTAGGGCATAATTTTCGTGTAAGCGCCTCTACTGCGCATTTTGAACCCGCAGGTTTCCTTCTTCGATTCTATAACTTCCAAATTATTTTCGCTAAGCGATCTTTGCCGTATTTGCTGGGCCATCTCAACTGTTGGTCCTTCTATTAATACTGGCCCCACAGGGCCCCACAAATTCTGTGAAGATCGCCCAAATATTTTAAGTGGACCGCAGATATAGTTTTATCGAAAAAAACGAAACACAGATTAAAAATCTTCGTTTCTTGCTTTAAGAAACCATCGAGTTTTAGTTATGTCTTGATAGGTTAGCTTCTTCTGTCGATAATTGATGTTCGTGCGCCCTTAGTTGAGCTGGCATCCTAGTTTCAATTTCCAGCCTTTCCAACAAGGGCGTAGCATCTCGATAACCTCGGTCCAGAATAAATATATCATTAGATAGGAGCCAGTACTAATGGAAGGAGCAACAGTTGAGCTGGCCCAACAAATACGGCAAAGATCGCTTACCGAAAATAATTTGCAAGTTAGAATCGAACAAGATAACCTGCGGATTAGAAATGCGCAGTGGAGGCGCTTACAAGAACATCATGCCCTAGACTTTCCACATTTGGATTTAAAATATCTGAGGGACTTAACTGTAGGTGTCTATCAAATGAATCTTGCGCCGTCTTATATCCAGGACACTATGCGCAGAGGAGCAAATAATGAATTGCAAATAGACCTGTTACTGAATTACACCAATCTGATCAGGTAAAGGGTGTTTCGCGCTTCAGAAATGCAGTTAGGCACCAGATTTTCATTGAATATGATTTTGATAATGTAAGAGGCTGAGGGGTCATTATTGTGTCAGGTCTTCAAAAAAAAAAAAAACAATCATAGATTGCTATGGTTTTTTAAACGTATGTCTTAGCAATATTTTTCCTTTAATTTTGTCGATGAACTTCAATGTCAAAATGTCATGTCAAAAATCCCGACCAATAAAGAAACAATAATGCGACGTACGTTTTCGTTATCAAAACATTCTTTGATTGGTGTTTTTTTTGAAGACCCGATACCTGCAAGTCAGGATTCAGAACGCTGGGCACTTGTGCACACATAGCAACAGTTATTATTGGTATTTGGGCTACCCGCGACACCAACCAAATATCCATTATCCAGCAACCGAGTTACTACATCGTGTATCAGATGCTAGATGCTGGAAACAGAGCCCCAAATAACGTACGTGTTATCATTTGAAACTTAAGTTCACCTAGCTTTGTCTTCAATTTAGATTAAAAGCATAGTGTGTATATAGATCTTTTGCTATTAAAAACAAAAATATAGAATTTATTTTTATATATTTTATTTTATAATATATTTTTTGCTTTCACAGTAATTCCTGTATATGGGAGAAACTGTGAGCTTTTTACTCAATTAGGTAGCCGCTTACCTAAATCAAACTTTTTTTTTTCGTTCACTGCTCTTTCAATACCTAATACTTGACCAAATTAAAAGTCAGATTTTTTATTGGTATGTGGACCAACAACGTATGAACACCCGGACTAATGACACAGCACTACAGCACCTTTATTGTATCATTTTCTAACATATTTATACTAACACTTTTCCAGTATTTCTGATCTTTTGAAGTTTATTTACTATATTTTCAATAGTATTTGACCAAATTATCTAAGGGCCAAATTATGGACTGACTGGTAAACATCTGGTTGTTACCTAGCAGGTACTTTCTATGCAATAGAGAATGGAAAGTACCTGCTAGGTAACAACCAAAGACTTACCGGTTGGTCCATAATTTGGCCCTTAACGAGATAATATTTAATATACAATTTTCAACTATATCCAAAATGAGATCTTGGAGCTATAACTCTAAAACCCCTCGATAGATTTTTTTGCGTCCATAACAGCTTTTAATCAGGATAATGAAAAGTATATCATATCAAAATTTCAGACGATTTGACCGGGACCACTTTTCCTATCTTTTTGTGCGGGGTCCTTTCTCCTTGCCTTTGGCAAGCAGCTTGCCCGAATTTGAAGTGCACTTCAAAGTGAACTTCAAATTTATTTCAATGTAAATGAATCTGTGCTGTCGCCATATGGCAAGCACGTCAATTTCAAGACAAATTGGACTTTGAAGTGAATGTAAATGCCCCATTAATCGTAAAATTGTACCATGCAAAGCCGAATGACATAAGGTGATTCTGTTTTAAAATCGTGGCGGAATCGAACCGAAAAGAGTAATTTATTATTTTATTACGTGACTTGTTCTATCTAGGGTCGTAGGGACGTCGTGACCATTATTCATGAGTTCGCTGCGACTTTGAGACATCCATCTGATGGGTGTAACAACTGATTAAAAAAGAAACGCCGGAATTTATAGCTCAATATTAAGCTAATTTAATTAAGCCACAAAAGACCAAGACGGCAATAAATCT